CAATAATAAAAATACCTCTTAAACAGGATAAACGGTATAAAAAGATAAATTTTGTAATTATCTCCATGTAATGATTAATAAACTGATTGTAATTATTTAGATAAATCAAAAGAAAATGAAAAGCATGCGGTAAAATAAATCTAGTAAAAATTACGGTAAGATAGATTTGTTCTTTTCTCTTTAAAGCTTATCTCAACAATATTTCTCATTTAATTTTTATTTTGAGAATATAAATGACCCCTTTTAATTATAAAAAAAAAGTATCAAGTTTGATTCTTACAAGTGAATTTGTCAATTTATGAATTCGTATTGCATAAAATATATTAACAATATGAATATTCATATTATATTTTATATAAAAATTACGTATAAAATTTTATGTCAATTTAAAAACATAAAATATAATTTTTTATTTTGTTAAACTCATATATAATTTTTATTAAAATTTTAAAATTTTTTTATATTATTTTTATATTATATTACGTGTTGTGTTTTAAATTATCAAATTACTTACAAGCACTTTTAATGTATTATTTATTTTCACATGGAGAAAACAAACATTGACGATTAATAGAATCAAATTCACAAATCATATCATATATGTACTAATAAAAAATAAATAAAATTTAAAATTTAACTCAATTGATTCATATAATTATTTTTAAAAATATAATAAAAATCTAGCAAGTTTGAAATTCAAATTCTAATACATATAATCTTATTTTCTATCTTCAAACTACGATCTTTTAAAGAAAATTAAAAAAAAAATGTATGAAAGCTAGTAAAGATGATGCCAATATATGCTACTAATATCAATGGGTTAGAGATTAACTTTGGATCCAACCTTGCCTAATGCCCATTAATTAGTCCACGACATCCAATGAATACACTTTTTTAAGGCTCCCTTATATATATATATATATATATATATATATATATATATATATAATAAAAAATTGTTAGAAATGAAAAAGCAAATAGATAACAAAAAGAAAATAAATAAATAAATAATAAGTAAAATAAGAAGATATCTACCAAATAAAATCTAAAAATTAATTAATTAATTAATTAATTAATTTAATATCCACGATAGATAAATTGTTCAACCAATTGATTTCTTTTAAGAAACGTATTATCCACTTTATAAAATTCCTCTCATGATAAGATAGAGAACAAAAGTTTTGATATGAAAAATTTGTTGGCTAAAATATTAGCAATAAATTTTTATTTTTTTTTTCAAAATAAAAAAAATCTAATGATTTATTATACAAAATTAAAATTTTAAAACATTATCTTTATTTAATTGATCCATTTTGTTATCTTTATCATCTCAACGAAAAATATAGCATGCACTGCGAGCTAGTGCTATATGTTATTGAAGTGTAAACTACGTCACATTTTCGTAGAGTTAATTACAAAAATCATACTTAATAATAAAAAAATATTTAAATTGATACCTAGATTTTGATAAACAATAATTTAGTATTTGTGTCACGGTTTTGAAGTGAAGTCATAAATCTTACATTGAATTAGTGTTAAAAATTGATATTGAGATATAAGAATTTACACATTTTTCTTTTTATGAGATGTTTTTTGTAAGATAAAATCGTAAAATCAAAAAAATCAAAACAGATAATACCTCACAAAAATATAAACCGTAACAGATAAACTGATCTAAAATATCAAATAAATACATACTTAAATCTTAAAATTATACGAATGTAAAAATTAAATCTCGACTCGTGACATTTAAATTAATAACATATTAATATAATTGGTATTTGGATTAACACTGTTAATAAATTATTAATCAAAAGTGACAGATTAACTTTCATCTAATAAAATTAAAACATGTGTAAAATTAATATTTGACTATAAAAATAGTGTCACATCAGCATACATGTGGTCCAAAAATTTTGTTTGGTAAATATCTTGTCAAGAAAAAAATTTAAATAACATTTAACCCAAAAAATTCTTTCAATCCTTTTAAACTATTTTTTAATTAAATGTAACTTAAAAATACATAATTGTTTATTACCAAAGGTAATAAATAGATTAACATAGTAAAATCAATTTCTTTACCTAATTTTCTTATAAAAACTTTTTAAATTATGTTTTGCTTTTTACAAAATAAAAATAAAATTTTACCAAAAAAATTAAAAGAGTTTAAAGGATTTTTAAATTAAACTTAAAAAAATGTAATTTTTTCCTTCAAAAAATAATTACAATCCTTTTTTTTTTTGACCAATGATGGCATAACTTGTATGGTGAAGTATAACATTTTTTCATGGGTCAGATATTAAATAATTTCATACGTGACATTATACCTCTGATGTTTTTATTAAAATCATTAATTTTTTATTTTTAAATATATCATAAAAATGAATATTATCCTATTAATTTTACTTGTGAAATTAAAAATTTAGACTGATAATATATTTAATAATTTATCTAAATAGAAACCAATTCATCACTTTTTACTAAATACTAAATATGTTAACAATTTATTAGTTCACGTACAATAGTTTTTCAAAATCTAAGTATTAATTTAAATATTTGACTATTGTTCAAGCATTTTCTGTCATTAACTCATTTTTATAATTTTTCACATAAATATTTATATGGAAAAGATAAACACGCTGAAGATAACAAAATTCAATAGATTTTCATTAAAGTAAAAGCTTAATCAAATAAAAATAATATTTTAAAAACTCATTTGGTACAATTAAAAAAAATTAAAAGTTTGGTTGAAAATTTTTGAAAGAAGATATCCTTTGTCGTATTTTAGCGAAACAGTTGTTTGGCTTCATCGCATCCTTTTTAATCATTCTCCACATAAATACAAAACGTTTTAAACGCGGCGAGGACCATCGGAGTTGGTAACGTGTCCCCACCGGTACACGATACGGCTTTTTTTAAAGGGAAAATAACACTTGGGTGCGTGAGATACAAGAAAATTAATGGTATAAGATTTTTTCTAAACTAAATACCGCTTGGTGTAATATGTACAACATAATTTATATATTTGAATGCAATGGGATATTTATTGAAAATGTGAAAATTAGTGATATAGACGAATAAAGTTTTTATGAATTATTCGTAAGTATATTTAATTTTTATTTATAATTATTCATTAAACTTAATAAAAGATTTTAAATAATATTTTTATATTTATTTATTAAATGAATCAAATATGAATAGAAGTTTGTTTAATTTATTTATATTTACGAATAAAATCATTTCAAGATTCGTTTATCATTTGTTTATAATAATAATAAAATTATATTTTATCTTTTATTTTTATCTTATTTTAAGATTCGCTTATATTTGTTTAAGATTTATTTGTTTAAATTTATTTAGTTATAATTAGTTTATTGTTAATGAACATATTTATTTATATATGTTTGTAAATATATTTGTTTAATTTAATCGAACTGAATGCAAATATCTTACTATTTAAATGAATCGAGTTCAAACAAATAAGGTAATTTTTTATTAAACACGAATCAAATCCGAATACTTTTAAAAATAAACGAATAAATGAACATATTTGTTCATATATATTTGTTTAATTTAATCGAATTGAATACAAATATTTTACTATTTAAACGAATCGAGTTCAAACAAATAAGATAATTTTTTATTAAACACAAAACGAATCCAAATACTTTTAAAAATAAACGAACAAATGACATATATAAATTCATTTATTTAGATTCAATTGATTTAAAAGTCTAACAAAAATGTCCTTAGTATTCTTATTTTAACATTTGAAAAAAAATTAAATCAAAATGAATTGTACATGATAATTAAGTAATATATATCACCTTTATAATAAAAGTTAAAATAATATTATAATAATTTAAACTTCTCTCACCGTTGATTTTGTTCTTTTTTTGTTCTTTCTCTTTTAATTACACCTCCATTTTATTTATTTAAAAAGAATAGATTAAGATTAAAATTATCATTAAAGGGTATGGATATCTTGAACTTATGACGATTAAAAATTGTGTAAAATTGTCTTATGTATCTTGTATATAACTATATCACGTATACATTCAATTAAATTAATTACTATATTAGAGTAATATGTATATTCCTTTTTAATGATTAAAGTATGCACATTTTTTCACATTTTGTGCACAATTACTAAATGACGCTCATATTCTATTTTAATAAGAGATCAAGTGTTTATAGATATTGAGTGTTTATATCTAGATATTTATTAAGGATTTTTAAATTACTATTTTAAGAAAAAAATTTTCTTTTAATGCATTATTTCATTAAATTAAAAAAAAAACCAATGCATTAGTTGTAAATTTTTTTGGGTTCAGGTTAAGCTCAATCAAACTTTTGAAGGTCTTGTTTGGTCTTACTTATCTAGCCAAAAGTTTCGAAATTTTCAAAAATATAAAAAATAATAAAAAATAATTAATAAATATATAATTTTATATTTTAAATTAAAAAACTCTTATTAATAATTCGATATTTTAAATCAAACTAGATTTGAATTTAAAAATCTTTATTCAATTCTCAATCTAAGTCGCTAGACTCACTAATTAGAGGAATAATTTGATCGTTAGACAAATCTATTAAATGATAATTAATATGCATATTCATAATAATATGCAATATACAATAGTATTAAAACATTTATTAAATTAACACATATATTATAATTAAACAATATTTATATTTTATAATAATATATAGTATCTTATCATAATAACATGCACATTAGATTAAAATAATAATAACATTTACAAAATTTGTTCACATATATTGATAATAATGGAATAACATGTACATTTTAAAAAAAATTATATGTATATTTTGTTATATTAATATATACATTACATTATAATAATTTGCACTCCTATTCTTCAATTAATTTTTTTATTACACTTACTTGTCAACATTGCCATTCAACAATTGTTTTCAATGAAACACTAATTCTTAATTTGCTTCTACATCATTACACCAAAATGTAATTTTCACTCTCGTCGGCAGTGGAGAAGCAAAAGAGTGAAGGTGGATGGCTAGCGAATACAGTGTCCCCACTCCTCACGCGCACCTCCTTTAAAACTTCCGCTTCTGCAAATCAAAGCAGCTGGCTTTTGTCCGTGACGTGATCCCTACCACCAAATAACCAAGCCAATTCTTTTTTTTTTTTTTTTTTAATTTTTTCCTTCGTTTTCGCTCGAAATCCTTATCTAAAAAAAACTCACCTTTTTTCTTTTTATATTATTTCATTTTCTTTTAATTAGAAAACTCAGATTTTCCCAACCTTTAGAAAATTACTATTAAAAGAAAAGAAATGGAAATGAGAATCTGAAGGCAGTAAGGCACCGATTATTTTTATTTTTTTGGAAATATGTGGCATTTTTCTGCTGAAGAATTAAGCGCTTGCTTTTGCCGACAGATCGTTACTCATTTCTAGGTTTTCTTGATTAAATCCGTTCTCAAATGCACGGCCTAAGCCGCCTCGGCACCGGCAATAACCGTTCGGTCTCCTCTTCACCGCCTACCTCGCCGCGGTTCCGCCGCGGACGTTACAAGAACATTTCAGGTGGTGGTGGCGGAGGTGGACGTGGCGGGAAGCAGAGCGCGGCGGATAAGATAGTGTTCGTGTTGATATCCGCGGTGTTTCGAAGAAAAGGCATGCTGTTGTTTGCACCGTTATTGTATATTTCGGGAATGTTGTTGTACATGGGGTCGTTAGGTTTCGATGTTGTGAGCTTGAAAAATGCGGTTGTTGTTGTTCGTAGGCGTTTGCCGCCTGGCTCCGTTTACCGTAGTCCTCAGCTTTTTCAGAATCTTTGGCCGTTTATGGAGGCTGATAGCAATGCCAGTTACAATGCGGTACTCTTTTGCTTCTGCTTGTCTCTTTATTGCACTTTTATTTTGATAATTCTAAGATATGATTTAAAAAAAATTTTTTTTGGAATATCAACTTCTGTCGAAATATTCTATATAAATTGGTACATCAAGCTTATAGATATTCAATATCATTTGGTTAAACTTTGAATGAAAATTATGGAACCTTTTAGGAGAAATTGTAACTTCTATGATTTCTAAGATTAAATATCGGAGAAATAACGAAGGGCACGGTGGGTAACTGCGTGTGATTCTCGTTGCATGCTGAGAAATTTTGGGAATTGAATTTTTTTGGGAACAACAAATGGGAACTTTAATGCTGATTATATTATGAAATGAGTTGGGAGTATATATTAATTTTGTAAAATGAGTTAAGAATATCTGTTGCATTTTTAAGATTTGGTTCATTTAGGCTGTCTATGCATCAAAGTTTCATTTTCTTGGTATTGGTTGTGCTCGGTTTGACAGAGAGTGTTTAAACCATTTCTTCAACGAGCTGCTGGCATACTTGTCAAATTTTGGCCAGCACCATGCTTTCCTTCTTGCAAAGTGTGTGTTTGATGTGTAATTTGTTGTGATCCATGTTGTAGCTTCCTCGGTGCTCGAGGGTGGGGGATTTTCTCAACTTAGGGTTTATGGTACTAAATTATGGTTATTGGGATTTATGACCATGATTGGAGTTAGAACTAGGGTTTAGGAATCAACTATTGTTTGAATTGAATTTTATCTTAACAGAATGCTTGCTGGGATTTATGTACAGCAGAGAAATCAGAATGTAAAGTTTATTTATGTTCTTGTGCTGTGAACGGTAAGGTGAGAACACTAGAAAAAGAAGGGAGGTAGCCTGGGAAGGAAAATGCAATCAATTAAATGACAAATTCTCTAGGAATTCTCAACAAAGAAATCTATTTTAACAGTCAACTTTACCATGCCTAGCAGTTTCTATTGATATAAATAGTTAAATACCAACTTGTCCTACTTGGACAGGATTTCCAAAACCATTACAATTAGAAAATGGATTCAGCTAATTCAAGCTAAAGACTGCATAAGAGCCCTAATAATTTATCTAATCCCAACATGAGACCAAATGGATCATGCCTTGGCCATGATTTTGGCAAAAGGAATATTACTAAATGCCCTTGGACGCTAAAATTTAATTCAATATATAAATTGGCTTTAGCTGCCATGCCAAGGGCATTACCTTGCTCCAAAGAATTTCTGTGTTGACCGAGAAGCCCAGATGGTAGCCTTCGGCTTTGAAATGGATTAAGCAACCAATTGAGGCACTATCACCTAATCTGATCTGAATTGTCATGCAAGGGCCCTTTTGGAGAGTGTAACACCCTTTGGGAAATGACCTTCAAATAAAAAAATGAACAAATCCCCTTCTATTGTACTGTTGCAGGAGGGTGAAGAAGATCTTTTATCCTTTAAGCATAATATACCCTTTCTTCATCTGAAGCTTTCTATAATGTTCATAGCCATGATAAAAGTTTGGCTAATGCAATATAAAATGAAAATCATGCAGTTGATGGCAACATGGAATATGAAAATGCATCAAGGTTGGAAGCCATGTGTCAACTCCATTATTTCTAAAACAGGTTTGAGTTTTTATATCATTTCAACTATTATAGCGTTCAACTAAGGACCTGTCTTGATTATGTTGATTTGCTTTTTCCAATTTTTGTAAGCTACAATCCTCATCTTATAGGTTTATGCAAATCTTCCAAGTTGATCTTGTAAATATGGTAATTTAGAATTACTGTTTGTGGGCTCATATTTCAGGTTTATCGAGAATTTTATGTGTATTTTAAATGCTTTTCTGTCTCTCTCAAATTTCTAAGAGTTTCTGGTGGCTGCACCTTTATGTGGCACTAATAAATAATGAAAACAACATATCTGCTATCTCAAGTTATTATTTGTCATCAAGTTGATAATATCAGCAATTCTATTATCTATCTCCTATGCCTCTTGTAATATTAGAAGTTAAATGCTGCTTTTCGTGATTTCAAGGTTTTTCAGAATTGCCAAAGTCTAATGGTTTCCTTATAATTGAAGCGAATGGTGGCTTGAATCAACAACGCTTATCGGTATGTTTTAGTTCTTAATGAATTCAGTTGCCCATATTAATCCTCAAACAATCAAAAGATAGTGCAGAATGCTTGTTTGCTCGTGTGATCGTGTGATCATTTTTGTTAGTTCCTCTTTGTTGCTTCTTCATGCTTCCTTGTTGATGTTATAAATAGCCATAATATGCACTTTATTATATGGTTTTGTTCTTACTAAAACTGTTTACTGCATGCATGTATGTTGGAACTTTGGATGCACATGATTGTGCATTCATTCCTTGAAAAACTGTTAAAACATGTTTTTGGAGATTTCCTTTAAATATCATGCAGACTTTGTCTTTCAGTTCCCTCTATTGTTTTCTTCATGCTTGCTGAAAAGATTTAGCTGCATTTTCTTTTTCTTTGTTATTCATTTCTCTGTACTAATGGCTAATGTGACAGTATTTGAGGGCACATGGTTTTTCATTTGAATGTTTTAGAGCTGTGATCCCCTAAATCAGAAACGCCATCCCACCAAAGATTAGATTGGCCATACTTTGTCATAGTTTGTCCATCTTTCAAAATCACTATTTAAGAAGCCATAATTAAAATACATTTCGGATAATCTTCAAATTCTTATTTCAAAAAATATTCTTTGGTAAACTCAAACAGGATAGAGATTTTAGAACATATATTTAGGGCTGATTTAGCATTGCTGTTGTGGTTGGGAAAAGTGTGTTTAAAAAGTGTGGTTAGAAATTTTAAAGTATTTGGTATTGCTGTGAAAAAGTACTGTAAGTAATTGAAATGTCTAAAAAAAATTATAAAATAATAAAATATTAAAAATATATGGATAATATAATGATTTTCTATTCCAAATACACTTTTTCACCACAAAAGCACCTCTTGAGGAGCTGTTTGGTTTGGCAAACCAGGTTTTTAAACCAAAAAGCCATATTTTTTGTTGTTGTTTAGCATTGAAGTTGGGTCAAAAGCAACTTTTGAATGCCAAAGTTATTGTCAACATGAATGCTAAACTAAGCCTTAGTCTTTGTTGCACTTTGTCCTTAGAACAACTGGGATTCACCTATTACTTGTAGAACTTCTTTTAGTTAGTTATATTGGTATTTTTGATTTAAAGAATAATGATGGTTTTGGACACTTGACTTACAAGAAAAAAATATGGACCAGTATTATGATATGCACAGAGAATATTATTTAGTTCATGATATTGAATTTACTATATAGATGGTTAAACATGCAAAATGATTGACATATTGTCATCTGAGATACATTTTAGTTTTTGGCATTAGGGCTTGATTGAATTGATTATCTTTGGGTTTGTTTTCTTGAAAGGTTGATATGTTAACCATTTTTTATGGCCATTTAGGCATGTTGACTAGGTAACCTTTGTTTCTTCTGGTTTTTTGGTCAATGTTCAATTTAATCTGAAGCAGAGTGCGTTACTAGATTAAAAGTTTCTGCAAACTTGTATGTCTGAATCTTTCTTTCGAGGAACACAAAAGCAAAAGTTCAGTTGACTTGTCAATTATTTATTATAGAAGTTAATGGCACTGTTATTTGATTGCTTCTTCATACTTTTAATACAGATATGTGATGCAGTGGCAGTTGCATGGCTGCTAAATGCAACTCTTGTCATCCCAATATTTCATTTAAACAGTGTTTGGCGAGATTCCAGGTTATCATCATCACCATTATCATTTAATAGTGCATATTCTCACTAAATTCAGGTTTGAAACAAGTTTGACAACCATTCTCTCTGTGTAAAAGAATGGATTTTCGACTGCATTGTTACATTATAGTCACTAATTTGATAAAGGTTTCTATAGTAAAGCCTATGCTGTTTGGTCATAAGGAATTTCACTTGGTTTAAATCTTGAGTCTTTTTGGTCCAATTGATGCCTGTTATAATAAGTTACTTAAATAACTTTTTATTGATAGTATTATTCTCTGTCTTGCATCCGCTGCCCACCCTCCCAATAGGGCTCTTCTCCTTTCAGTAGTGTAATGATGGTGTTTTTCATTCAAATCAAAATGAAAGACAAGAATATGGCAGTAGATTTTGTAGACGTTAGTGATGGAATAGATTTTAGAAGGTGAAGCTATAAGGTGTAGCCATTAGTGTTCTACGTTTATAGAACGTGGCATAAGCCTTAATGCAAGATGTATACTTTTTGAATGCTTATTTTAAATTTGAAAGTAGAATATAGTAAATAAAAATTTTAAAGATATGAATATCTTGATCTAAATTGAAAAAAAAGCTAATGATAATAATGATAAGAAGAAAAGTAATAAAAAATTTACAATAAAATGATATTGAATCCTTGTGAAAGTTGGCATTTAATGGCAAGAACTGCTGCTTGTCTTGGAAACTGCAAAGGACTTAGAGCCAATTGTGTCGGAAACTGCAGTTATTATTTTTAGCATTTTTTATTCATCCACTGCCTATAAAGAAGTAAATATTTAAATGAGTTTGACATAACAAAGGGCATCATTTTTAATCTACCTTTTTTTAGACTTAAAGGAGAAATGAGGCCACCTTGCATGCATCTCGAGAACACCTTTGAAAACAGAAATGAATGATTTATGCATGAGAAAAGGAGGCTAAATGTGTAGTTAAAAAATATCTACTTTTTTCTGAATGATTCCATATATATACTGATATTTTAAGTATTCCATCTAACTTTTGGTTTATTTTCATGGTTGTTCTTTTGCTTTTGAATTCATTAAAAGCGCTGCTTACACCACAATAAAAAATGTTTCATTTCTCATCTTGCGCTTTAAGATGTTTCAATTCTTTAATGTGTTTCGTTTTCATTTTTTATTTCATTGCAGCAAGTTTGGAGATATATTTGACGAAGAATTCTTTATACATGCACTTAGAAATCATGTGAATGTAGTCAGAGAGCTCCCTGCAGATGTACTTAAGAGGTTTGACAATAACATTAGCAATATTGTTAATTTGAGAGTAAAAGGTTGGTCGAGTCCGGCCCATTATCTCCAGAAGGTTCTTCCGAAACTAGAGGCAATGGGGTATGCATTCTACTTTAATTTATTATGACTACACTATTTCCTTTTCCCTGTGGAAATCAAAATTGTTAGAAAATCAAATCAATGTCAATTTTCTTCCAACTCTATTTTGAAATATATATGAGGGGCGGATGGAAACTTAGATGGTCTATTGTAGTGAAGTATATTCACCTCTAGAAGAATTACAATCTGTCTAGAGGATGATGAATAAGAACAATGTGTTCTGCTGTAAAAACTTTCTTGTGAACTAGTTGGGATCAGTTATGAGAGTCCTATTCCTTCATTCCCCTTGGTTTGGGGAAGCTATATCAATTCCGCGGAATTTTCAGCTGATTCTAATTAAAAAAAGCTTAATTAAAGTTGAATGTCCAAATAAAAGCTGAGATGTGCCCAAGCAAATTGCCTTGAATTTGCAGCATGTGGACTCTTAATATAACCAAAAAAACTTGAAAAGACAAATTTGTCTTGCCATTATCTGTTTGGCACATGACACTAATTTCATCTCTAGATTGTCTTAGTTGTCTCTTCAATGTCAAATCTTTCATGACCATTTTTCAAAATGAAAGCAGTTATGGATAGCGATGTTGTTCTTCAATTTAGTTTATTTCATGAAACATGCCTTGTGATGGTTATAACATAATCTTATAAAATTCATGTTGTATATTTCAGATTTATCTGCTGAAATGAGGTTTTTTATTCTTTTGGGTTGTTTAAAGTCTTACATATATTTGTAGTAGAGCATCTCTATATTTTCTGTACTCTGAGTTATGTTCAGTGAGAGCTGCTAATATTTTAGATATATATTGTTGTCATTAGTTTTATATCATCTACCCTTCTGCATGCTCCATTTCTGATAACAGGGAATATGCTTTGTTTGCATGGATTTGCAACACATCATATGCAATAAACTATTGCTATATGATTTCATCTTTTCAGGGCCGTTCGCATTGCACCCTTTTCTAACAGGTTGGCGTATTCAGTGCCTCCAACCATACAAGGGCTTAGATGCTTATCCAATTTTGAAGCCCTGAGGTTTTCAGAACCTATAAAGACTCTTGCTGATAAAATGGTTGAGAGGATGGTCAAGAATAGCTCCCATAGTGGAGGAAAATATGTTTCAGTGCATCTTCGGTTTGAAATGGTGTTCTTCTTGTTCCTTGTACATGGATGAATAATTCATTGATTTGTGAATGTAATGTTTAGCCATTGTGTTCTACTTCTGAAAGATAAATATTTGCTTGGGAAGGATATGGTCGCATTTTCATGCTGTGAATATGATGGCGGGGAAGAAGAGAGACATGAGATGGATATTGCGCGAGAAAAAAGTTGGAGAGGAAAATTTAGGCGAAGGGGCAGAGTTATAAGGCCAAGTGCAAATCGTATGGATGGAAAATGCCCTTTAACTCCTTTGGAGGTATGCAACTATAACTTATTTGCTTTTTGTATAGGTCACTTTAGGGCATGCTATGCAATGTTCTCAATCAAGTTATTCATGGATTTTCTTTATTTTATGAAAGACAATATATTAACTCTGAAAAGCTAATGCTGCATACTGGAGTGTATATTTGATATCAGTACAATCTTATTTAGTGATTCTCCCTGTTCAATATTTGAAACGTGTAAAGATATTGACTGCTGGTGTTTTAGGGTAGAGAAAATTCAGTTATACAAGTTTTGATGCTGCCATTTCTATTCACTGATTTATTAATCTATTTATTTGGTTCTGCAGGTGGGAATGATGCTTAGGGGCATGGGTTTCGATAAAAATACATCAATATTTGTTGCTGCAGGAAATATTTACAAAGCAGAAAAATACATGGCTCCTCTTAAACAGATGTTTCCACTTCTAGAAACAAAGGATACACTGGCTACTCCAGAAGAACTTGCTACATTCAAGGTATCAAGCTTTTGACCTGTTGTGCTGCTTTGTTAAGTCTGCCAGAGCAAAATCTACTTATAATTACTTCAAAGGAGGAAGAAGAAGAAAGCTAGAAATGATTCAATTTTTTAACATTGTAGTTCATAATGTAGGGCCACTCATCTAGGTTGGCAGCACTTGACTACACGGTTTGCCTTCACAGTGAAGTATTTGTCACGACACAAGGTGGAAACTTCCCCCATTTCTTAATGGGTCACAGACGCTATTTATATGGAGGACATGCGAAAACAATTAAGCCTGACAAGAGGAAATTAGCACTGCTATTTGATAGCCCTCATATCAGGTAAATTGTGGTTCAAATCTATTTCATTCTTGTCAGTATTTTTTTGACTGATTAGTTAACCATTTTTTTTGGCTCTCATTTGACTCTGTGACATTGCCCAATAGTATTTAAAATTCCCCATGTCTTGATGGTGTCATTCCCTGCCAGATCCTAATTCTATTAGTTGTGCATCTTGCTTGTAAACCTAATCATGTTAAGCTCAGAGGAAATATGGCATGTTAAGATTTGGCTTGTTTCATTTTTAGTAATGGAGCTCAACTCGAGATTGATTTCATGCAAGCTTGAAATTAGAGCTCAAGCTTTGCTGGAATAGGTTTGTTTTATTGTCTAACTAATTAGTGTTAAGCTTTCAAATGCCTGAGGTCAGTTGAGCTCAAATGAACACTGCTTAGTGTTATTAAGTCAGTTTTGGGCTATAAGCAAGCATTTGACTACTGCAAAGCTTCAATATGCAACAAATCAAATGCAGTCCTGCTTGCAGCTTCCACCCAAACTATTATCTCTCCCTTATGGAATGCTGTTTTAACTGAGAACTGTCTGATAAGGAGCATGCCTACTGGAACGTGTCTGACAAATTCACTGATAGAAATAGTCACGTGCAGCTTTTTGTGGTGAGAAAGACAAATCTTGTTAGATCTTTCCACTCACCAACTCTTTACTGGTTTGAGTAAATCAAGACCTTTGTGGTAGCAAAAAAGGTTGTGATCAATCTTACAAAAGAGGGTAGGAGGTTTTTTTTTTGGGGGGGAGGGGGATGCAAGTAATGAACAACTTTTAAATTATTCTACTTTTAAGATTCTAGTAGCTGGAGACTTCTCATTGGTACCTTCTTCCTTCTTAGCTTGACAATCAATACCACTTGATTTGCATCTCTCTCTATAATCATCACCCCGCTGCCAAAATCATCTAATAATGCCATTAAGCTCTTTGCATGTAATATAGCTCATTTGAAATGTGAGTGATCTTGGACTGCTACCCTAATTGGCACATTCTTCCCTGCCTTGAATAACATCTTCCCCTTGGAACTTCCCATCTTGTTTTCCAAATCAAACAAAAAATAGCTTGCCTTGAGTAGCCAGCGAACATTGGAAGGGCTAAGGTACCTATAATTGTTGCACACTATGGATAAATCCAAAATTGGCTGAATCTGTATCTCTGCCCATTCTGTGATGTTATTAATGCTAAAATGTTGTTGTGGTTTATCATTGTTAAGTTGGCTGGCTGAAAACCCTCATATTCTTTAACATTGAATAGTCACCGCCTCACTGGTTGAAACTTTTATGGGAAACCAAACTATCATTGGGGAAAAAATAAATGGGACTTCATGTTTATTTCTTTTTTACAACTTAGTGGAGTTTCAATTTGTCTTTAGTCTAGTAGAGCTTAAATATGATCTTCTTTTGAAAATTGGAACCTTTTAAAAATTTCTCTATCATCTTGATTAGATTATTCTAAAGCAATTTTATGCATGATCCTACCTCTTCAATGATGATGAGGATAACTGTTTGCCTTGTTTAAGTTCTAGATTTTTGTCACATCCCTTTTCCATATTATGCTGGGTCTCTAGCTGTAATTTGCTTTTGGATTTTGCATCTTGAATGATCAGCTTTACTCACAAGTTATTCGTAATTATTATTATTTTGGGTTAACTGTACCTACATTCCCTGTAGTTCAACATTTCCCAAATAGCATCTTGTGATTTTTTTTTTTTTTTTCCTCACCAGCACCTTAGGATTAAGTTTTGTTCCTAGAAGGTGTTACACCTTTAATTTCATCCAGTAAATTACTAAATATCCTCCATTTGGAGGGTTTCTTATTTGTTCACAATTAAGGGAGTTTTTGTAATTTTATTATGTAAAATTAACAGCATAATCCCTTTTAGGAACAGAACTTATCCACCGAGTGCTAATCCAGAAAAAAATTCATAGGGTGGAGTTTACCTTATTATTTTTGGTTTAGCCCTAGTTCTTCACAGTTGATTGTGCATTTTTGAGCATGGCCTCTCATCTCTTCTTTTTTCATTTCTTGTGTTAGCTGTTACTTGTAAGCATCATAAGGAAAATCTATCTCCGATTATCTTTTTATTTTGGTTGGATGAATATGAATTTTATTACTCTTTATTTCTTTTGATTCAAATATTTTCAAAATGCAAATTTAAATGTTTTATTAATCGGGTTTTACGTATGAGAATCCTAAGGGTATTCTTTAAAGTTATGATATAAAGTAATATCTATTAGAATTCATCACATTAACTGTCAACAAGTGCATATCATTATAGAATATTTCTGTTCCTTGTGTTTGACAGGTGGGAAACTTTCAAACGGCAGATGAAAGATATGCTTCGCCATAGTGATATGAAGGGAAGTGAATTGAAGAAACCCAGCGGTTCAGTCTACACATTTCCCATGCCAGATTGCATGTGTAAACAAACAGAAGCAATAAATGAAATCGGTAACACAACGAATCTGGATTAAGATTTTCCACAACCTGTAACTTATAGTGTATCATGCAATCAAGTTCTATAGTTCTACGTGATTAATTCTTTTGATTTGTTTAGGTAATAGTTTCAGGTTTTGATTCTTTTAAGATTCAAATTTTTTTCATCATAATTTAGCACACTGTAAAATCGGTTGTATATGACACAATAACAGTTTATTGGAACTCCCATATTCATCTTGCATTATGGTCAAAAGCCCTTTGTATTTGTTTAATTTTTTTTTAAATGAAGGTATTGAAAGTTTGCGAGGATTGAAGAGCGAAGTTTATATGCATGGATATGATATTCTTCAAGAATTTCGATTATTTCTATAACAATGGGATGTGTTCACGGATTGGAACATTAAAGTATTATTTTTGAAATTTGATTATCAAAATAAAGATAATATAAGGATTATTTTTAAAGATTTTTGGGTGTTTGAAAAAGAAATTGAAATCCTTCTAAAAGAAGCCACTCGATCAACATAAAAACATCTCTGATGCAAAATTTGGTGCTTACAGTGAAACTTTTTTTTATATTAGGCTATATACGGTATAACTTTTTGTTGGAGTACCTCACCTTATAATGGAGCGAATCCCAGTCTAAGAAGCTGGCTATGTTATGCAATCCATTAATATAAGGTTAAAATAACAATAAAAAAGACTTTAATTTTTTTAATTTTATTTAGATAAGTTTATAGAATTTTTATTAAATTAAATAAATTTTCAGTCTTTAATTTGCATTTAAATGAGTCTTTAACATAAATAAAATTTTCGTTTGAAATACAGGTTTACTTTAATATAAATGAAAGAAAAAGAGTTTAAGAGTTTATTTGGATATAATAAAAATATAGAGATTTATTTAAATAAAGTAATAAAGTTTTAAATTTTTTTAATGTTTTAACCTTAATATAACTATGAGTTTTGAATTGATTGCTGTATTGGATAAATTGTCTTCTTAAAACTTACATATGCTATGTTGGATCACAATTCTGGTTGTGATCCTAATTGGAATGTGTCATTTCTTACTATGCTTCTTTGTCTAGTTTGAGATGCTATCAGAATTGTGGCTTCAATTAATAGGGACCTGTTGCATTTTTTATTATTATCTTTTTGCATGTTTGTGACATGGATCGCTACAAATTAGGGACGAGAAAAAAATCGATAAAATCAATAATTAATTTAAAATTATAATATTTGGTTTAATTTGATTCGAATTATTTTATTTTTATTTGGTTTGGATTAAATTTAAATATTAAATATATATATTAATTTTGTATCGAATTTTGAATAAAAAATAAAAAATAAAAAAATTTATATATGTTTATTAATTGTTTATATATTTTAATTTTTCATAAAATAAAATATTTATTTTATATAAAAATTTATTTAAATATATTAAAAATTATATTAAAATAATATATACAAAATTTAAAAATTTAAAATTTAAAAATTTATAAACCAAACCGCTATAATTCAATTTAAATGGGATCAATTTAAAAAAAAATTAATTCAAATTCAAAACATATTTTAAAAATTCATAAATTATATATTATCTAAAAAAAATTAAGTCGAACTCCATTCAATTTGGATTATTATCACTCATAGTACAAATAAGTTGGAAGCCATTATCATTATTCTTTTACTATAACATGTTATATATATATATATATATATTAATTCTCAAAGCTATTTTAAATTAATGTAACACACATGACTAGTGCATGATAATTAATGAAGGATATTTTTAGTAGATTTGATAATTCGTGTATTTATATTTTATTTTAAATAAATAAAAAATTTTTTTTATTAAATTTATATATAATTTTTGCTAGAATTTTTTTAAAAAATGTTATTTTTGTATATATTTTCATATTATTTTCGTGATGTATTACTATATCATATTTAAAATTGATAGATCTAAATTTTAAAAGTATCATACTATTTGCTAAACTTGCATTAAACTTGCTAAATTATCATACTTTTTAACATATTTGCTAAACTTGCATTAAAGGACAAGAAACAAAGATTTTTTTTTCCTATGCAAGAATCTAGATATGATAATTTCAAATATAATATAAAAATAATATTAAAAAATATATTACAATGATAGTTTAAATTTTTGATAAAAATCGTATCTATTTGGCTAAAATAAAAAAAAAAAATTATAGTTATATTAAAATAACTACAATGATAGTTATATTTTTCATATCATTATAAATTGTGACACAATAATTTTTATATTTTATGTATATTTAATAAATAATAATAATTCCTATGTCTTAAGGAAACCATCTTTTTGGGTAGAGATATAGAATTTCTAAATCATTACACTTTGAGTGTAATTAGGGTGAAAATTGAAGGACTTTAGTCTAATTTAATCCTAAAAATAATTAAGGAAGCTTTTAAATACACCTCACTTTTGCTTTTAACACTCCATTTTTTTAAATTTTGTTGTAAGTAAAATTATTTAATTAATTTTTTCATAAGTTTTTGAATATTTATATTCAGATATGGATTTTTAATAAGTTTCATAACTTTTCAAAAATGAATTTTCAATAAAACTTTTGGAAAATCCATTTTCAAGAAGTTGAAAACTAAAATTTTAATAAAAATTACAAAAAAATTTATTAGAAATTTTTATTAATTAGTGTAAATTGATAATTTTTAAGAAAAATTTGATAACTTTAAGAAGAAATTATTGTTGAAAATTCATAAATTTTATAAATTAATAAAAAAATTAATTTTATTATTTTAATCTTAGAAAAATAAAATTTTATGAAACATTAAACAAATTAAGGATAAATAATAAATGTAATTTTCTTGTAAACTTAAAATTCATTATTTTTTAATAAATATTTTTTATCGATTATTAAAATTTTATTATAATTTTAACTAAACTGATTATTTTTAAAAATTCTCTAAATTTACTTATCATAATGAATTTCTCCAATTAATATATTAGATTTTAACAAAATTATGTAATTATAATAATATTACTTATATAATTTCAAGGAGTTTCAACTTTTAGATATCAATAAAACTTAGATATTATCTTGGATAACATCAAAAAATAAAATATTTAATTCAGATCTTATAATATATATTTTTAAGGTTAAAATAACAAAATTAACTTCTTTTTTTATTATGGCATGGCATTGCATATATCCATAACAACATCTCTCGAGTAAATTCAGGCTATGTATGCTTTTTACTCGTGTTGTTTGGCGTCTGATTGTTCCGACGACCCGTGGGCACTTACGGTCTCGACCAGTTGACATGTGCGGGAAAAGAGTTTGGCTATGTTGAGATCAAGCCTGTGCCTACAGCTGACGTTACCCTAAACTCCAGATCCAGTCCTTGCATCGGGCAATGGCTTTTAGAATGATGCAAGCAGAAGTTGTGGTCTCAGGCTTGATCTAATAAAGTCTCTTGGGATTTTGACAGTCTCATGGTCTCTTTTCGTCTCTTTTCGTCGATCGCAAAAATGCTATTGTTCCTTATTTATTTAATTTTAATAATAAAATAACAATAATTTTAATAATTATTTTTTAATAATAATTTTTTATTACATCAATTAATAAAAATTTTTAATAATTTTTTTTTTTGTAATTGTTCATAAAATTTTATAAATAATCAATTTTCGATAAATTATAGAACTTACTAAAAATTTGTCGGATATAAATATTAAAAAAATGAGATGTAATGAAAAAAAAAATGGAGTGCATTTATAAGCTCTAAAAAACTAATTTCCCGCCAAGATGAATAAAGCAAAGTGGAAAGGACAAAATAACCCAAGAAAGAGAGAACTTCATAAAAAAATCATAAAATTTTCAAACTTCCTCTCTTTGGATCTTGATATAAATTCAATTTTTTAACCCCCAAAATTGTAATTTCGAGGCCCCTGCAGCTGCAAGTCTTAGCTCTGTTTTCCTCAATTATCTTTTGGCAGGTTAGATTCTAGGAAATGGGTTCCCAACGAGGCATGATTAATCGTAGGAATTGTCCTTTCAACTTCAAAACCCTAATCTCTTCCCTTTCTTCTCCACAGGTATCCCAATTTTCTCTTTACTTGGAATTGTTTCTTTCTTTCTTTCTTTTTTTCTTTTACAATTTTTCCACTTACTCTGATTTTTCTTTTTTTCCTGATTTTAATTTTGTTGATTTTAGGGTTTAAAACCAGAAACAATGGAAGGATTGTATTTGCTACTGCTTAATTTAAGCTGCTCCAATTCTGAATCCAATTTGAATTTCTCTGAAACCGAATTCAATTTGAACGAGTTCAAAGTCAAATTCAAAGATATTCATGAAATATCAAATGTCTTATTCAATAAACTCAATGCAAAGTTCAATGAATTATTCTCTGCTTTGAATGATGTTTCTGCCCACCCGGTACGCGCACAATCTATCTTCCATGTCAATGTTAAAGCCACCATTAAAGATCTAACCTTGCTTTTGAGATGTTGCGTTGCTGTTTTCAAGTTGCTTGTGTTGGATCAGAAGCTTGTTGTCGAAAAGGGTCTAATTCTGTTAGGGATTCTAAGGAGATGTGTTTCTGTGGAGTCAAAGAGAAGGAATAGGAAAAGCTGTAGTGGTTTGAAAAATAAGGTTTCACATGAACGTCTGTATGTGGATGGTGGTGGTACTATTTTTCTTGCTGAGCACTTGGTTACTTCCATAAGTTTCGCGGAACCTGCTAATCCATTCCATGAAATTTTATGTGCTGTGCTTGAGGTAATTTTGATTATTGTTTCTAATTCAAAAGCCAACTATTCAATTCCTTGTAAAGTTTGTGCCTTTTGCAAATTGCAACAGTTCATTCAACTAGATTTTATTTGTTATAGACCACAGAGGCAAACAAATTCTTAGTTTTAATGCAGAAAAAAACTTAAGCAAAACTTAGTAGCCAGGCTAGATACATTCATAGTAAAGTTGCTTTATTTTATCCTAGTAAATTTTATCATAGATACATTATAGAAAAGTTGCTTTTTTTTAGCCATGATATTCAAAAGTATCATGAGGCTTACATTATTCTTTAATCAATGACTTTTTTGACATTATCTTGCTCTTTGTGGTTTTTGCATTTAACTGTGATTTTTCCTCATAGATTGTTTGCCATGCATATGGCTATACTTTTGTGTTACCAAGTTAAACCCTGCTATTCATCACCTTTTTGCTTGACTTAAACGGGAACTGGTATTTTTTCTATATTGGTGGCAATTTCTTCTCATAAAATAGGGTAATTATTCAAACCAAATGATAGGCTTGTTGTTTAGGTTTCTAACTTTCATTTAAACTCTTTAAAGTGACTTTATTCTTATCATGGATAGTTTATGGTAGTTAGGTCGCTGCCATGAAAAACTTACTAGTAGAATATACTGCAAGCAGGAAAAGAAGGGTATAATACTGAAAGTACTCTGTTTAGGTATTTGCAGATGAGCTTCTGATGCATAAATCAGTGAGACAGTACATTTTGCTTGCTGATTCTCTCTACTGCGTGAATGAATTTCTATTTGTACATCACTTTGGCCCTGGTAATATTGGAAGCGTGCTGGAAGTTATTTCTGCTCACTTTATACTCTCCATTTCTGATGACCAAGCATTTTATAATTTCCTTTATAGATTATTTTGGCTTCCTGACAATAACTTCAGAGTTCCTGAAGTGACATTGACTACAGCCTTGTCATTGCTGCTTAATCCCATCATGTTGTCTGCACCCAAAATGTTTCAGGCATATTTGATTTTATTGGTTTCTGAGGTCATTGGAATTAGCATGTCTTCTGATCATATGATATCAAGCAGTGAACTGAGATCATACCTATTGGCATTTGAAAGGTCAGTTGCCTTGTATACCAGACACATGTCCAATTTGCACACAAAAGGTTACCCCTTAGTAGATGATGATTCTTTTGTAAAATCACATTTTCGTGCAAGTTACGGTCAGATGGACTTTGAATCTTGTCTTTTGCCAGCCACAAAAGAGAAAATTCATAATCTGATCAGTAAATGTGATAACTTATGGAATTCATATTTGAGCAATATTTTACGAAAAACTAGGTCTGACCTGGTGGCTTTCTCTGTTTCATACGCAAAAGAGAGCCTGCATGTCTTTGAGGAATCCTCTAGAGATGAAATTCTATCAATCTTAAGCTGCATAATACTCAGGAGTTCTTCTGATGATGTCGATGACACTGTGCTGCATAAAAAGGAAGATACTAGTCCCCAAGATATTTGTCTTCTTGCATGTATATTGAAGCTAATGAGTGGTACAATGTTACAAGCTATAAGGATTCTAACACAAGGCAGAAATTCAGGTTCTTTGAAAACATTCAAAAATGTTGTGTTAAGTAAGGAGTACGACTTTTTGGTGGCTATTTCTAGTTGTTTTCAAAAGTTTGGTGTACGTCTACCAGTTCAAAAGTTCTTACGTGACGTGATGGAAATTCAGCCAACAAGGCATAAGAAGTCAAAGTGGATGCTTTTTCATTTTTCAGGCTTGTTGTCACTAAGTTATGCTAGCCGGCTTGATTTTCTAGTTAAGAACTGCTTATTTACATTGATGATGCTGTTGAATTTATTTGTTCTTGAAGCGGGTAATTTACACGCATTGGAATCGTTACTTGGCTCAGGGATAAAGTCTTCATCACATAAATCTCATGTTAAATTAGGAAAATCTGAATCTTGCCATAAAGCAAGAGAGGTAAGGTTGATAATAATGAATTTTCTCTTGTTTGTGTTTTTGTTAAGCTCATTACATTTTTGGCTTCTGTTCTTAAAATAATTGAGAATGATGATTCAGGTTATCGTGGATCAAAAATCTAGCCATGCTGTTGCACTAAAATTTCAGAAAATTCAGACATTGTACTTGGGGTAGGTGGCATTTTTGTTTTTATCATATTAGAATGTTCATGCTGATTATGTCAAGTGTCTAACTTAGCCAATTTGTTCTTTTTAAAACTTTTCTGTGTAAATTACAGTGGACTCAATTTTAGTTTTAAGTCTTTGCTAGTCCTTTCAAATGGGACTTTTTGAATCTGGCTCTCCCTCCCTTCTTGTGCATGTAAGAGGTTACACAACGTACGCATACACGGGTGATGGTGCAAGTATGTTCTAGTTTAGGATTCCAGGTTTAGTGTAAAGATTGAACAAAAGTGTCAAGGATTTATGAGTTCAATAGGATTACAAAAGTCTATATTCAGGGCTGAATGAGTTACTTTAGGAAAGTTATTTCTGGTCCTACTTTCTTGTCATTCATCTTTACCAAAGCGGTCACTAGTTTTTGCTAACATTTGGAGTTTAAGAAAATTTATGTTGTTGTATCACATTGGCCAATGCGTGACTATAGGAATCCTAACCATATTGCGGTTGTCTTTCCCTCTAGGAAATAATTGAAAAAATAAAAAATCAACTAGGGAACTCTGTTCTTAGTTTGGTGGAATAAAAAAACTGTTTGGGGGTAATTTAGAGTCAATTGATACACTTGCAGATTAAATTTCTAAACATTCACCTTTGTTCTATTTTTGGGACAATATCTCATTAGCCTTTTTCTTCATCTCACAGAATGAATTCTCGGACGAGTTTTAAGAAAAGAGCTCAAGAGCAGGAACTAGGAAGTTTAGGAAATGCCCATATTGTGAATCATGTTGACTCAGCTCTCAGCATAGAAGAGAATACAGGGGAGACTTGCAATGGTGAGATTTTTCTCAGGTGCATGTTAGAAGGCACCGAGAATTCATCTGATGTTGCTGATTTAGCAGACTTCGTTGAGTGCAAGCAGGGGAAAGATTATTCTGACTGGTTGAGGGGTCGACGAAAATTTAGACGGTGGAAATCTGAGAAAATGGCAAATATCAGGTGGCAAAAAAGGAGAATTTTTCAGAAGAGAGCATAGTTTTTTCTCATTAAAAAAACTTTTACGGGGAACAACTAAAACCATTGCAACAACTGCTTGCATAGACTGTCATCCTGGACAGCCTAACTCTTAACAGGAAGGTACAAACTCCAATTGCATGTTCCTGATGCAACAAAAGTTGCAATTCCGATAGTTTCTTATCATTGCAACAGCATGAAAGAGTATGTAATTATCTTTTTTTTTTTTTTTTTTAGGGATGCATATTTTTATGTTAGTGACTGCATATTTTGAAGGCTTATTTAACTAGGAATATTTTACCCCACATTGCAAACTGTCTTTTTAGTTTGATGCTTTGACTAGACACAGTGGAGTGGGAAGAAACCCCAAAACATGTCATGTGTAACCGATTTCACCTTCAAAACTGTTATACCTTCGCTGCGTCATCACCGAACACCTTTACTGCCACGTCGCTAGCATCTACACATGATTTTAAGGCAGCCAATCGATATTAAGCCAATCAAGCCATCATTCATGAAATATAAAAAGAATATGATTAGGCATGCAACATTCTTTTTACTTTGGGCATTCTTTTGTTTTGCTCCTTCCTCTCCTTGACCTCCTCTCCATATGTCTTACAAGTTCACTTACTCTGTTCTTATTAATCAATATGAAAGAAAGAAAAAAAATGGAATAATTTTAAAATGGAGAAAAAGTAAGGAAAGGTGGTCTTTTTTGTTTTTTTTTTTAAATATGATCTTATTAGTATATATTGATGATTTTATAATATGATTTTTGTACTTCAATTAAATTGGTGATTCTATAACAACTCAATTAAGGTCATGTTAATTATACAAGATTATGATAGGATATGGTAAAATGATATATGAATAAATTATATTAAATAATATCATCTTATTTTGTATTTAATATGTACAAGAATTAAGATAAGATAATTTAGTTATTTATTAAAATTATCCTTTTTTCAAATTCATATAATTTAAATTATTAATATAATTTTTAAGAAAATAATTAGATATGTAAGTTTCATCCAATGGATCAAAAATAATTTTTTTCACTTGGGGAGGATTGAATAATTTTATGCCAAAAAGATTTTAATCTTTCTTGCAATCCCTATCATTCTCTTTTTATGTAAAAATCAAATATGATACAAAATAATTATTTTATCCTATTAATAATGTTATACATCTAACATAATTTAATAGTATGTTTGGATTGAAGGGAAGAGAAAGAAAGGAAAGGAAAATAAAAGAAAGTAATAGAAATAAAAAATTATTTCTTTTGTTTGGATAAATTTTTAATTTAAAGGAAAGAAAAGAAGTAAAAACTTAATAACCCTTGGTTTCTTTATAATATTTACTTTTTTAATACTCTAATTTGGGGGAAAAGCTAAGGAAAGAAAAGTTTAAAAACTTTTATTTTTGTAAAAAGACTATTATATCTAATTTTTTATTAATACCAAAAGCCTAGTAAAAAAAAAACTTAATCATATCATAATTTTCTTATAATTTTTTCAAAATCATCTCTTTTTTTAAATAAGTTTTACATTCCTCTTCCAATATAAAAATTTTTTTATAATTTTTTAGTGATTTGATCTCAATGAATGATTGAATATGAACAGACATATTTTTTAGGTTTATGAAATGTTAAAATAACTCAAAATTTTTTATTTTTATATGTAATATATTATAGTTTGAGATGTTGACAATTCTAAGAGATGTTTCATTGAAATGCAATTAATTTGACTATACGCTTTTCATATAAAATTAATTGGTAAATATTAATTTTATTTTTCTTAGGATGTAAATATTTATTTTTTATTTTAATAAAATAAATTTATGTTGAACATCTATATGATGATATGTTATTACTTCTTGTTTGGTGCAAAAAGGACATATAATTCACTCATATGTAATGTTTTTATATGATTGTATTTTTTATATTTAATAATTTTTATATGAATGTATTGTTAAAGTGATAATGTGTTGAAATTTTGATAATAACCAACAAATCCATCAATGTATGTTTGTAAAATATATTCTTGTTTTACTTGATTAAAAACCATTGATATAATAGTAATTGCAAGGTTAGATAAGATAGCAAATATATTATAGTTCAGAAGTATTCTAAAATCACAAGCAATGAAATATTATAATTAAAAAAAATTATTATAATGAATCATTTATTTTCTTTTTCATTATTTATCCAAACAATGGTTGTTAAATTTTTTTTTATTAATTTTAATTATCCAAACAAGGAGTACATATATCTTTTTATTTATTTATTTATTTATTTATTAATATTTATCTAAATATAGTGTAAGGATTTTATATATAAGATAAATAGCCCTAAGCATTTCCATTTTCCATCGCAACTACTAATTGTTTAATATATCATTCTTCAATTCCCTTTCACCAATAAAGAGCCCATTATGCAAAGGCAAAAGAAATACAATTTTTGACATTTTCTTAGCAGTTTTGTTCTTTTTTTATCAGCATTTTTGTTGGTACATGCCATCTTTTCTTTGGAGAGCATAAAAAGTTTTATCTATAATCTATAATATACATCTATATATATATAACCACGGATATAGATGATTATTATATATTATTTTTTTGAACCGAAGAAAATAGATATATTTAATCATTATACTCTTAAAAACCTACATTTGTTACTTTAAATTATTTTTACCAAATTTTTATTTTTACTTTAATTTTTAAACTTTAAACTTTAAACTTTTAAGTTTCTTTAAAAATATTTCTTAGAATTGTATTTTTTTTATTTTTCATATGATAAAATTTAAAATAAAAAGGATTATTTTTCAGAATTTTGATTTTTTAAAATGTTTTTTTGCCAAGAATTTTTAAAATGTTGAAAATGATGAAAAAATTTTAAAAGTTTTTGAAGCTTTAAATAATTATTTTATAAAATTTAAACTTATTTTTCAAATAAAATTAGTTTTAAAAGTTTGTTTTTTTTGCTTTTGAAATTCTTTTTATATTTTTAAAATAAATTTATTTTCAAATTCATTTTATATTTTAAAATTATGACATACGGATCCAAACGTGTACCATGTGCATAAATTTCCTCTAACATAGTTAAACAGGATTTTCGTAGGGACAATTTGTCAAACACCTCTAGAGCATAACCACTCAAACCAGTAAAACGAGCGTAGAGGATGAAAGTTTCCACCCCAGAACCACAACCAATCTCAAAAGTAGAGAGAATCAGTAAATCTCAACCCACCACAAAGATTTCACAAAAAATTTGCAGCAGCCTCCTACAAACAAAGGAAAGTACTGACAAGGATTTGTTAAAGAATCCATTGACATCCATTGTCACGAGGCTGTCAGCTCAAGAATTTGTTCATAGTTTACCTTAATTTTTACTGTTTAAGCATATATTTATTTATTTTTTGTTATAAGAGCATCCCAGCTTACTTCTATAACGGCATACCAATCATGAGTACCCCTGTAACAAGAATTATAAGATGCCTGCATCCAGAACCAGGTTCCAACAATCAGTTGATGCCAATTTGTAGTAATCTTCCACATACAACTTTGTGACAATGGATGTCAATAGACCTAATCACATTCAAGTCAGTCTCTCCTACACTATTCACATTGGAATCTGCATCCAGCAAATTTCAAACACATTTGAAGGATAAGTTTTGTGACAAGCATATGGAGAAACACCCCCATCTTTCAAGAGAATGTAGAATTGTTTTTGTTTGAAAGTCGGAACCCTAAGGGGGTGCTCTACTCTGTATAGCAGACACTAAAACCAAATGCAATCACTTGTAAATTGAAAAGGGAATTAGGCAAAGATGTGTAGGTGATATGGACAGAAAAAGATGAGAGGTGCAATTTACATATATCGGCTAGCACTTCAGGTTTCCACCACTGTTAAGAACCCGATGCAAATGGAATGCTTCACCCTGATCCCCATTTGCTGACCTTCTTTCCAAACAGCATGCAGTTAGCTGCCTGAGTAGTCTCTCAAGATAAGATTGTAAGCAGCCTTGCATATCTTTCATATTGGGATTTGTTGACAAGATCATAGCATTAACTGTGTCTGCCACAAGATCACGTTGCGACTCTTCAAGAAGATATCCAACAGAGGACTCCTGTGGACGTACGTATGCCAGCAAAGCAACACAATCCTAACAAGAAAACCAACTAAAATATTAGCTTTCAGTGCAACCGAAATACATAAGGATCTGGCTCTAATCTCAGCTGAAAAATACATTAGACCAACAGAAGGGCAGAATTAAAACAGGCCAGAAAACTGTAAAACAAGGAAAGCAAGTTACTCCACATTCCCCCCTTCCTCGCATGCACTCACTTGCACGCCAGACCAATTGCTTGGTCACTATTGTCTAAAAACGCTTAGAAGGGGAAAAGTCACATTGATGTACATCTTAGCATTGTACATCTTAATTTTCTTAAAACCATGCACTAAAACAGAAAAACATATTGTATCGGCTTGTATATGTAGTTATGGCGAAAAAAATGTCCAATTGCATTAACATATGCTAGAAGTGAAAGGGAACAGAAATTCAAACACCAAGCACGTCCCTAACATAATGTTTGTCATCTCACACATTCTAAAAGCAAGCTCAATAACCAAAGATAAAAGTTCAAGAAAAGAATTTTCTTAGTACCTGCACTAGATATTCAAAATTTGTCAATTCAAAAAATTTTGCCAATTCAATCCTTCCATACTTAACAGCCTCTTCCAGTGCTCCAACCTATAAACAGCATCTCAACAGAAACAAATACGCATCAACCATCTGATACTGATATACCATCACAACACATAAGAGATAAACTACATAGTTCAGGAATTCACGTTCAAAGGCATAAACCTACAGATTTTGTATTTTTTCTTTCAGTGTTGGTTGGTATATAGCCATACAATATTTACTACCCATGCTGCCATTGTTTTGCAATGTGCATACAACTTCAAGCTTTCCTTGCAGAACCAGATCAAGGAAGCAATGCAATGCTTTTATACAAAGCATATATAAACTGTCAAATTTTTATTATAGGCATTTAACCCAAAACTAATTCAAAATGGCAGATAGGCATCACATTTGAGAACCCAAGGGACCCCAAGCGTGTCATTCTGAGGATTTACTTTTATCACCAATTACAATTACCTATCATGTGGCATATTCTTCACACAAAAGCATAAGAAGCCTATCACATGAGGTCAACAACAGAACTGCCAAGTCTGTGCTGATAGAAGGTCAAATTTTATTTTAGACGTCCTACTAATTACCAATTAGTTGATATGAAATCAGAATTTAAGGTTGTTTCTTCGCCCATTTGTTATGTTATTTGATGTTTGTAGTTTGTCGCTCTGCACTGTTGTCCACATGGTAAGACCGTTTGTTTTAGTTGTTGGTATTAAGCCTACAGATGAGGGGGATTTTAAGTAGTGTAAAACCAAATCATTTAGGTTTTGGAATTTCTTGTAGCTTTCTATTCAAAATGTCTCCTAACCTATTGAAAACTAGAATTTAGGCTAGAAGTTACAAGATTTGAATAGACAACAATGTATATCCAGTGAACTGTTTCCGTCAGTAAAAAAGCTATATATACAGGAAAGATACGTACCCGAACCAATTCAATAAATTTTTGGCAGTGCAGCAGAAAGCATGTAGCTGATTTATCATCCTGCATGTAGCATGTAAATGGAGATAGAAAGAAAGATTATACATTAATCCAAAACGGTCTAACTATATCAAGTTCATTGATTAATGAACAAGCAGAAATAAAATCTTGCCTCGACACAACTAAATCCATTCCCAACAGTTTTTTCACCATTTAAAATTTATGTGCTAGAAGAAACAGTCACAGATAGCTGATGCAAAATGCATTAGTAGCAAGAAATCATAAGACAAGGAAAATCATAAATGTTGTGACTAATAGGCAACCTTTAAGTTTGAGGGGAGTATTAGGAGTTTTTAATGTAACCATTCCCATTGAAAGTAGAACAATATGCAACTCTTCCCTCTTTCCGTCCAGGTTGTTAAGGCATGAACATTAACATGTTCTGCTGTATCCCTGGCTAACCTGACCTAGTTTAAACATCCCTATCCTAAGCACTTCTCAAAAGCAACTAAACCTTTCCAATTCCATCTCAACATGGACAGAAGAAGTGTTTCCTTGTTTGTTCCCCACAGAAGCCCAATTCATTCACATCAGTGGCTATATAAGCATTATCCAATATTCAAGTAAATAACCTTACATAACAGAGACAAGGAAACAAAAGAATTATTAAAGTAAAAAGCAAGAAAGCAAGACAGATTTGATCTCAATGAAAGAAGCCCTTCTCAACAAAATCATATAATTCCATGCCAGGCACTCCTTGAGTTCCTAATGGCCATAGATTTAATAATAATAATAATAATAATAAAAAAAAAAAAAAAAAAAAACTGAAGCCAAAATTAATGGAACCTGAAAAGAAAGAATTGAGGGAGAGAAGAAAATGAAAATGCTTTAACAGAAAAAAATGAAGTTCTAGAATGATGTTAAAGGAAAACAAGCGTGCCTTAGCAATGCGTAATTATTGACAGCATATTTTAATCCTCTTCTGACAGTCAATCTATAAAGTAAGTTCACAACATATTGTGTACACACCTGAACAAGTTGGGGATACCAATCACGAAGTTTGCTAATTGCTGCATCAATCTTGCCATTCCTGATTAGCTTCATTGGCGAGAAAAATATAATAATCACTAATTTAACTAGAACATCAACAGCTGAAAAAAAAAGGATCAAAAGGAAAATATAATGGATGATAAGTACCATATATTCAAAACTAGAAAGTCTTATCCATAAAAAAAAGATAGTCCTCAGGGAAGAAAAGACAAAATAACTTGAAGTGCTAACTGAAGTGTATATCGCATATCATCACTGATTAGCAGGTATTTGAAACAGCAGAAAATAAATATTTATTAGTTGGCTCTAGCTACTTTTTTTACCTTATTTGTGGGGCCTTGGAACAACAAAAATAATTTTAGTTTATAAGCACAAAAGACATACTTATGATAGGTAGTGTTTACACAAAATGGGAACGCCCATCCTTATGGAATAGTAGCTTACATCCAAATTACCAGAGACTAGAAACTAACAGCAATATGAGATCCTTGTAATCCCAAACAAAATGAGGTATGAGACTACACCATACACCAACTTAACAATTAATGCTCAAAAGATCTGACTCTAGCCACCTTCACTGGCCACCCATCACAAGCTATAAGCACATCTCTGTAATAATGTTGAATTGATGGGACTATCCATTTAGAAAATCCAAGGGAAAACCTCTAACTTTTCCTTTTTTTTTCGTTTTTATCATAGGGAAGAAGAAAGCAGACAGCAAAGATTACAGAAAATCGAAGGTGGGGTCTGAGGTTACAGACTAGAAAGGGTTAGAAAGAGGGAAAGGAAAAAAAGAAAAAGGAGACAGATCAAGTGACTACTGCTTGGTTAATGGAGGAGATTAAGGGCATGGAAAAGAGAGAAAAGGAAGAAGTCAGGAAGATGAGATCCATGGAGAGATAATCAAAACCAGAAAGAATGCCGAAGAAAAGAGTTCGAAATGGCTCTAGAGTACTCCAGTAGCAGAAGACTCCAGAGTGGAGAACAAACTCTTGTTACTAAATTCAAGTAAACTTGACAGTCATGCTAGCAGGCCTCAGGAAACCAGATGCTCAAGATTTTAATAATTTGTACATTCATTATCCACATTATTATAATACTTGGAACAGATATATTTACTAACAGAAACATAATATTTAACCAAATTATCTCTTCTATTCTAAAATTATTTCAAATAATTTTGAAACTTAGATATATCAATCAGGTGTCAATAGAGTTGTTTTCTATATTAGAAAAAAGAAACAGTTGATTTGCTCAACTGTCCTCCACTTACCATGTTCTTCCCACCCATAGCAACTGAAATAGAAACCTCAAAGTCAACTACCATGCAGTCTATCATCAATAGAAGCTTCCTGCTTTCTTATCTCAATCTAAAATTTCTTTTCATTGCTTTTACATCTGACATGTGCTCAAAATTATTATATACCAATATTAAATAGCCTAGTTTGTAAAGCATCTATGTCAGGAGGAAATCAAAAGGAATTCACAAAGATAGTGACAACAATACTATTATGAAGAAATCCCAAGCTAAATCAGCATAAGAGAGGAGGCAATGAAAATGTAACAAGCAAAATTGACAGAGTCTAAAAAAATCCCCAATTACAATGAAAGCAGGTTGCAAGGAAGCAAGCTCAAATTTTTCATGTCATATAGGAAAGGAAACAATAGAATATACTTATCCAAAAAAAAAAGGATAAGTACATTTTAAATAAAGAGAATTTTTACTGAACTTGAACAATAAGAGAAATAGAACACTTGGAGAGATCCAAGAACAGAGGAAGAAGCATTCTTCCAAGTTCGTCAAAAAAAGCTTAAACCAAGACTACTATTAATAGCTTGGTGGTCACTTTATAATTCTTAACACCAACTATGCCTCAATGATTGTAAACACGAAAGTTCGCATACCATATAGGATGTGAACTTTGGGTGGTTCATATTTCTCTTTATCAATAAAAAATTGATCATTATGTCCTAAGTGCAGTAGTGCAAACATGTACAAAGACAGAGATCAATGAGCATGCCTCCTAGTGAAGGAAGAGTTCTAGTTAATACCCTGAGTTCAAACACCTCAGGCTCAGTCGTGCATAACAAACTTTCTCCATTTTTACTGATCTTCTAACAACCTATCTCATCCACACTTCATCATTCCTTTCCAACCACATGTAGGAAATAGACTAAATCATAGAAGAAAATAAAATTCCCAAAACTATAAACTTAGATTAAAAAACTAGGAACCCAAATACCATTATCAGAAGAATCAAGGGAATAGCTCCTCCAAAAGACAAAGGTGTAACTTATAACTGTAACATAAAAATGTAAATTATCAAACAATTACATACCTGTCGTAGAATCTTTCTCTGATTTAGTGCATACACAATATCCTGCTCATCAAAGCCATTTTCTTGAGCTATATAGATTGGAGGGATAGTGCTTTTACTAGCCAAATCAAATGACTTAAGTGTATCTTCATAGCCATAATGCAGCAAGTAGGAGCGAACAAGTCTGTTCAAAAAGATTAAAAAGATATATATTAAAATATACAACTACATCATGTTATAATACTAATCAAGTTTAATGTGATAGAGTGATAAGTTCTCAGGTTGACTTTTACATCCACCTAGAGAGAGACAGATAACCTCAAGATGGGCTCTACAACTAAGAATCTATCATTTTAAACTTAAGTTCAGGCCAACAATATTCAGAGTTCTCCAATGCCTTCTTCACCCATGAGGTAAAACAAGGTGGTAACAGATGGAATCATTGTCAAAAATCAACAGGTAATTAGTATTATGATCATTGCCTAAACCAAAAGCTTCTATTTTACAGCAATAATTACATTATAAAAGCATCAAACCATCAAACTTCTATTTCAGATATTTCTCAATCACAAACATCAAACCATCCAATAGGTAATTGTGTAGGACAGACATGCAACACCACAGAGCAGAAAATACTTTTTAGCAGAAAAAGAAAAACTTACCCATAACTAATATTCGGTGGTAGAGCTATCTTTTCAATAGTCATCTGCTGCTTCAACCTCTCTTGAGCTTCGTACTCCTGATGATATAGCATCACATATAATAAATAGGAAGATACAACTAAGAAACCTTTTAGAAATAACTTAACGTAACAGACTGAGAGAACCAAGGTATACTGAAAGTAAGAATAGGAAGATACAACTAAGAAACCTTTTAGAAATAACTTAACGTAACAGACTGAGAGAACCAAGGTATACTGAAAGTAAGGTTACCAAACATCGGAGAAAAATAAAGCATGATGCAGAATAATGAAGCATAACTTGCCTTCAGATCAAAAGCAAACTTCTTTTGCCCGAAGTTGACATGAACCCTGCACATTTTCAAATGAAAAAACTCATTAGAACAACTTAAAATCATCACCACTTTAACAATAACTACTTGCATTGTAATAAAACTGTGCAATTCCCCAAGTTTTTGAAAATACGAATGCCTCTCAAGATGTCATTTTTGGTAGCAATCAACTTCCTATACCTTTAGCAGGTATCAAGGCAAAGTCTGCATTTGAAAAAAACTTCAAAGGAGATTGTAAGAATGCAGGGCTTTTAGCAATTCACACTGTCAATTTATATTCCAACCATCTTTTATGGTGCTTTGTACAAACCTATTGCCATTGTTAACCTAGATCAAGGACATCTTTGGAATATTAGATGGATCAAAATGCACTACTGGCCATAGGGTAGGGCTGCAAAGAAGCTGAGTCTAGCAACAAATTGCACAATTTCAGCTAGATAATTTATTTTCTTGCTCAAGCACATTCCAAGCTCGAGTTCAGCTCTGAAAATTCTAATTCAACTTGGCTTAAAGCATACAGTTTGGAACTGACTTTTCCACCCTCACTGTCACAAAATAAGCTTGAACAAACTCAAGTGAAAAAATGAAACAAATGTTTTCCCAAACTAAGAGCAAATTTTAGCTTAAAACCCCTCAGAGTAGTTTTACTAGGCCAGACACTACTTTGGACAAAGCCAGAAACAAAAGTGTCATAACTAACACATCACTACTCATTCATTGAAGAGAAACCTCAATGTATCATGCACTAGAAGAACCAATTTACCACAACTAGAGAGGAAAAATGGAGAAAAATGATATCTTCATTATTCCTATCGTTCACTAAATGCAAATATGGGTGCCTTATTACAACATAAAAATGAAAGAATTCATATAAATACACAAAACAGAAGAAAAACATACTCCTCATTTTGGCTGTGAACGGCAATTGTAGGAAATAAGCGACTCTTCATTTCCTTTTCGCCAGAAACTGTTCCTACTAGTGCCCCATTTTTGCTGGCATCAACACAATGAGCATGCAAAATCATGAGAATCTTAAGAAATGAATAGTGCTTTACATTAAGAAACATAGATGCTCAAGGCACAAGTACTACATACAGCACAGATAGACAACTGCATCTTACGTGAAAAAGAATTCCTGTGAAGCATAGTTTATGCCACCACCAACTGTATCTCCAGCTGTATATGTTGGACCAAAAGCATCTCCCTTTCCTTGTCCATGGTATAGAAATCCATCATCCCCATGATACCCACAACTGTTTACTTCCCACCTGCCACAGTTAAGAAGAATACTTCGATATTAATTTTCTTATTTTCCTACAATTTCTCAGAAAATTGACAAATCCCACACCTAATTAAAAGCTCTCATCCTGATTATATTTCTTTCTCTCCCAAAAAGCTTGTGTCGCTGGCAATGTTAATTAAAAAAACCCATTCTCCTCTCTTTGTTTTCTTCCTACACGTTCCCAAGCACAAAAAAGACATACTTTCACATAGGAGGCCTGAACTCTTCTTTCTTCATTTCTCTCAATTTACAGAACCCATCCTCAAAACCAGACAAAAAACCAATTGAACTGAATCATTTCCTTTTATTCCTACAGCAAAGTAGGGCACTTTCACTTCAAATAATTTTTTTTTTCTTTTGTGCCATATGATTAACATATGTTCACTTACAAAGACCAACTCCATTCCCTTTTCCTTCTCTTTCTTTTCCCTCATTTTCCAGACTCAAAAAACAGCAGTCTGAATCAAAAAGGAAAGAACTCTACCTTGCATTTAATCTTTTTATGCATGTTCTTCCATTCCCAAGAAACTATACACAAATCACACATACTGTTAAACTACAACAAGAAAAAGGGGAAAAAAAGTAGTAAAAATTTTATGTTTTTTAAGTTGCACTTTATAAGACCAAAAATAAAAAATAAAACTAGAAATCAGAAGTAAAAGAAATAAATTCTCACGCTCTTCCTCTTCTTCTTCCTTTTCTTCATTTCCACCATTTTTCATTTTTTTTCTTTCATCAACCAAATGCAGACAAATTCAAACGAACAAACAAACAAAACCCTAACTTTGAACTATAATAAACAACAGGCACTCCAATTAAAACTCGTCTTGATAAAAAAAAAACAGTATTCCACGAAAAACAGAAACGAAAGAAGAGAAAAAAGCCCTAGATTACCCAGGCTGCCTTCGCATCTTGAAGCCTTCATTGGTGAATCCAATAGCAATCTGTCCCTTAGCCCCGGCGTTCTTCACATAAATCTCAAAGTAATAAAGCAGACGCTTCACTGGAACCGGCTTATCGGCTTGAATCACACCGACGTCATGGCCATGGAGGTTAATAGTCGGATACTTCACCGACAACTTATCAGGCGCCACCACCAAAAACCCTCCCGAACTATTGATCGTGTTGAGCTCTTTCGGAGCCTCCTCCTCATCCTCCTCCATATCCGTCGGCGCCTTAGACGAGCCGAGCCGAGCCAGCTCCAAGAAGTATAAGCCGAGATCTTGGTTTAGGCTATCGAAACTGCTGCTCTTCCCGTTGTTGCTTTCGCCGTTGTTGCTGTTGCTAGAGTTCATTTTTATCAAAGCCTAAAAAAAAGGAAACCCTAAAATTTCGTTTCAAATAATCATCTGATATTGAGTTTTTTTTTTCTTCTCGACTTTTCAAGTTTCCAGTGTTGCTTGAGAAGAGGATTTTCAGATAGAAACGGGAGTGGTATTTTTTATTTTTATTTTTTTCCTTCGTCTTTGCTTCTAGAGAGTGAAAACTGAGTAACGAAGAAACCGATTTTTTTTTTTTTTTAATTTCTTTATAATTACTTCTTTGAATTTTGTTATAAGTGGGTTTTGTTTGTGTACGGTTTAGAAAATGTTTTAGCCTCCTTGATCGTGACACGTAGGGTCGGCTTTAGCGTATTTGATCATCTTTGGCATGGCAGAATCTGTTGTTGCTTCAAAGGCTAAAATTATAAATTTTAATGCCTTGATGCTTTACCTATGTTCGGCTAACATTTTTTTTTTATTTTTTAAAATTATTATTAACCCTACAATCTTTATTTGCTTATTCACATAAAATATTACACTCTTAAATCTTCTTAAATATTAAATTTTTAAAAATCTAATCAATATATATCATTTGAATTAATATTTAATCGACATGTTAGACAAATTTAAATTTAGAAGATTAAATTCGAATTTGATTTATTATATAATCAAAAGTTAATACCTAATTTTCATGTTTGGCAAACATCAACTTTTCGGACTTGATTTGTTGTATAAAGTGAGGATGAAATGTATACATTATATAAAAATTATATATATTTTTCTTTCAGAAGTTTAGTAGAACTGCTACTTGGAGATGGAATTCATGGAGAGAGGATGATAACAGACGAAGAAGGCAGATTTATTTAGCTAATTAATAAGTTATATTCTTGGCAAGTCTTGTGGATTCAAAGTGGAATATGAGAAACTAACATGGTTGTTTACAAGCTAGTTGATTTTCAGTGCCAAAATCTGCAACTACAGAACAATTAATCAAACATCGCAGTTGTGTGTGAGGTAAAGAGAGGTTGCATTGCAACATCTGATCAGAAAACTAATCATCCGCAAAGAAAGATACAGATGAAATAAAATTTTGGGACCTCCTTGGCACCATTATTGGAATTAAAAACTGCAAATGCTTATTGCATCTATGTATCATTTGACCAAGTTCTGCCTTCGTCTGTTGCACTCTTGTTCAGCTTCGTATTGCATTCTGAAATAAGAACGATAAAGTTTGTGATTAGAAGGCGAAGATTTAGGATGAAAAAGCTGCCAGTGTTTCCAAAGGATGATCTTGGGGCAACAGTAGCAAGCCATGAAGATCGTACATATGCATGAATAATATGACAAACTAAACAAGCAACCTAATAAATGCATGTTCATATAGGCACTCAATCCGTCATTCAAGCACCAGGTTTCACAGTATGATTCACATTTAAGAGAGGACATATGCTCTGTTTTATGTTCTAGAGATGAACCGTGAATCCTACATTAGTTGTATGCTAGAATTAGACTCATCTTAAACTTACGAGATGTTTTTTTATGTGACAAAACTGTGAAATTTAATAAACTAAAGCAGATAATACCTTAAGGTGTGAACCGTAATGCTACGCATGTGTTGATTTAGATTCACGTACCTTAATGAAGGTGTCAAGTCCTCACAGTTGTAACGTGCTTCATGAGCATATCAACTATTTCTTTCGATACCCTTGAGGTTGATTCTGTCAAGGCTTTAATCTTCATTTCCGTTTCCTCTTCAAGCTGCTTCACAGTGTTTCCAGAGCTTCCACTTGTCTGCAAACATTGCAGCCAAAAGGAGCAAAAGACAGCAGATAATATATTTATGACAATGGCAACAATAATCTGTGGCAAAGCATCCAATATTATGTACCTCGGAAATTTTATTTTGGTATTCGGTTTCCATGTGGGAGCGATAATGGTCCACATCCTTCTCAGCTTCTTCTTTTGCTTGTTTTAGCCTGGCCATCTTCACTGAGCAATTCATGATATAAGTCAAAAGCAACATCGAAATGGAAATTTGGAAATCATACAAGAACTGAAATCTCAAGCAGTATATGTAGTCAACTAATCATCCATTAATATCATCTGAAATTGGAAGTCAAGCATTTTGGATGGATTTGTTACAGCTTCTAGCACTTGAAACTATTTGTTGGGCCTCCTGCTCTGCAGTTAGCAACATCTGAATGCCTCCATGCCCTCTAAAGGACTCCATGGTAGCCAACGTAGAATATCTAGACAAGTCACAGAAAAAAAAAAAAAAACCAACAAAACTTGATATTGAACATACTTTAGGAAGATATTGCTTAAAGTTTCTGATGCATTGACAACAAAATTTTCAGAAACAAAAGTTCAAAGGACATTGGAAGCATGAAAAAGCACAAAAATCATTTTTTTCGCAGACTAGAAACTGATATTTGAACTTGTGCACAATAAAGACTTAGCATCTTTACGCAAATCTCCAATAATATACTTTTTTTTTTTTCTGATGTTCCCTTGGCTTTCTCACAGGATTACTAACAAGTTGTGATCCATAGCATTGTTAATTCCTTTTTTTACAATAGAGGTTGCAGCTTGAGGATAAAGTAAGGGGTTAAAAGTACAAATTTCAATCTCCGACTTGTTGGATGACATTTCTTAAAAATAACTACATAAACCAATTGGGCAAATCCCGGGTTCATAAGATTGTTAATTTGAATGTTGTGATGAGAATTAACTTCTTGTAACTTTCAGAAAACAACAATGATTTCCAGTTTGATTTCAGTATCTTAAATTTAAATGAAAAAGGTGTAGACAACTTAGAAACAAAATACAGAGAAGTAAAATTCTACTAGCTGCTCTGAAATATAAATAAAAGAAATGATAACGAGAGACTTAAAGAAGAGAATTGAATGTAGAAAACTTATTGCAAGCTTTGTGATTGCTGTGATAACTAATATATAGAATCCAACCATTAAAGTATGCCATAACTTATGAATCAAGAGAAAAATCGGCGCCATCAAAAGAAGAAAAAGGTGCAGGCCAATGGTTGCCAAAGGTGATAAATCCTACACATATATATGCCTTAAATCTTAAATGTCATTAACGCTAGAGAATAGATTACATTCCCAGAATATTGTAAGATGCAAACTTTTGTACATTTAATCAGCAATTTTGAAGAATTACCTCACATAAAACAGCGTAGTAGGAAGAAGAAAAGTAAACAACATGGACAGATTGTGAGTGCAAACTAGTTATATATCTGCTTCTTTGATTGAACTTTTATGGTGTCACACAGCAAGAAAATTCATATGGGAACAATGAAATATAACCAAAAAAAAAAAAAAAGCTTCAGACTCCAGGTATATTCCAATATGGAAATCTATATGATGCATCTTTCATTTGGGACTGAACACAGTTCATGAAAAGGCCTCTATCTGCCACAAGGATGGATTCAAAAACCTTGTATATTGGGATTTAAACAAACAAAAAAGGAAAGAAGAGAGCCATAAATGAGTGTGAGCTGAAGGATTCATACCTGAATAAAAAGATAATATGCAGAAAGAATGAAACCCTTCATTCTTAAACTACTTGCTCCAAATCTTGGATTGGAGGGGCTCTTGCTCTTCTCTTTCATCTCCATAGTTAGCGGGATTAGTTTTGATTTGTTTTGTTGGTCAAATTGATACATTCTATTATTAAGTTCCTGTCGACTCAACTATTTACAGTTTTGGTCACATCAGAAATTAGAATGAACAAACATCAATTAAAAAAAAAATGATTATGTCTTCTATATATTTCAATGGACACACCCCATGTTAAAATGAAAATGTTGTCACATATTACATTATCTTTTAAATGTACTCTAATGAGTTATTTGATAAATCTCTAATCTTGTTAGGAAAGATTTTAAATTGGTAAATAAGTTCTTTATTATTACCTTATATTCTGATAATTAGAGATAATCTAGATAAGTTTTCTTTTCCTATAGTAATTTGTGTATTTATATTGTGTCCATTTTGTATCAAATACATGTAAAATAAACCTTATCTAGATTATATAAGGTTTTAAAACTCAAACAAAATTTTTACTAAAATTTTAAACCTTATTTTTAAGATATTTTTTTTATTATTTTCATATCATATTTAAAATTATAGTATCTACTAGCAATCCTTTCTTCTTTTTTTTTTTTTAATTGGTGAAGAGCAATCCTTAAGGGTTTTTTTTTTTTGGCAGAGCAAAGAATGGCATGTTGTTCAGAAAGTCAAAGCTTATCTTGGCACTGGGTTTGAAAAGTCACAATTGATTTGCAATCTAAGCTTTGAAGCATAAAGCATAATTTAGTTGGAGACAAATCTCAAGTACTTAGAAAAATTAGCAGTTCTTTGGGTTGACTTTGACTGGGATTATTAAAGTCAACCAGAAACACAAGGATTCATAGCTGGCCAATGGATCAGATTTGAATTCTCCAGCAAAAGATAAAAAAAAAAAAGAAAGAAAAAAAAAATCGCCTTCTACTATATATATGAAGCAAATCCGTGAATCACCAAAACTGGAAGGCAAGCATGGCTGATGCAAGGAAAGTTGGTATATTGGTTCTTTTTCTCCTGTATGGTATGCCTTATTCCTCTTTTGTCATCTCTGTGCATGAATTTTTTTCCAGTACCTTGCTTTCTTTTGAGCAGATCACATAATAAATCTCCATTAATGGTTCTTTTGTTTGAATGATGAGCAGCAGTTTTGTCATCATCAGCAAATGTGGAAGCCAAAGTCTGTCCTTTCTATTGCTTAGATGTGGTTTACATGACCTGCAAGGCGTCAAGCGATGAGAAGCTTAAGGCTGAGTGCAATTGCTGCTTAGCTCCAAAAGATTGCACCCTTCATCTCTCGGATGGGTCCTCAGTTGACTGCAATTGAATTTGAAGGGAGAGATCCTGTTGCCTGTTTCTGTATTCTGATCATGCATACTGATGTTTATCATGCAAAATAAGTAGAAAATATAGTCAAGAATTTAGATTTATTCCAACTTAGGATGGATACATAATGGAATAATTGTATTACTACAATAAGGTGATGAATGCCAATGGGAAACTATAGCCATCAAAATATTATGATTTACAAGCAAACAATTATAGCTAACAATCGCATAATCTGTTAATAGGATAGCCAATAACTGGTGTTTAAATTCGGATAGCCTCAAATATTACAATAACTTTCTGCATAGTATCGTTTCAAACGTATTTTCTTGCCTCCATGGTGAAAAGGAAAAACAAAGACCAAAGAACGAGTAGCAATCACTTGAAGGGATGAAACGAAAGCCAAAATTGAGTTAGAAGGGATTGAATGTAACAGGTATCCCTCCTTCAAATCCCATCCACTCTTCCCAATTATCATATTCATCAAAATCCTTCACAGTTTGCAGCTCATCCTCATCAAACTTTTGCATCAGGTACTGAAAGGTGAAGAATTCAAAGGGGATAATGGTTCGGTTGAATTATTTTTCAGTTCATATATAGTATTTTGATTTTGAAAATTCCATTCGATCTTAATCATATTGTATAGGTTTTGTCTATTAGATTTTAAAAATTAATTTCTTTTTAAAATTTTATTAACATTTTAATATTATTTTTAATATGTAAAAAAATAAATTTAAATATAAAATAATTATTTTTTCTCTTATAAAATTTAAAATATAAAATTAATAAAAATATATAATTTGATTTAATTTAAATATTTTTTATTTTTCATTTTTGGATCTAAAAATTGAACCGAATTGAAATATAAAATATTTAAATTTAAATCAAATTGAATAAAAAATTAAGTCAAACAACATTGTATTTTCGAATTGATTTTTAATATTTTTTTTCAACCCTAATGCCAGAAAACAATCAACTTGCAAGGCTGAGAAGCAAACTGAAACTTGGAATTAAAGAAACATGTACACGATGCCAGTTGTATACAATGGATGAGTCCAGATAACAATTCACAGGTGATTTAAATAAGAAATTTGACTTTGAATTCTTTTATTGGTGAAAACAAAAAAGAAATTTGCTAGCTATAGGTTTTAAAGTTCCTAAAGTAACTTGAACGTTGTGCAAAATATAACATTAATAACAAAGATAAGGCATCATAAAAGATAAGCTTCTATTGGCTAATATAAAATTTTAAAGCATACAACAAGATTCCTTTCCCTTTTAATTGGGAATACACAGAACAGGCCTAACTTTTTGGCTTAGTATTTTATCAAGCTTTTATCAAATGATGTAATTTCTATGTGTTTTTTTGGTATCTGATGTCTAAAATTACAAATATAGATGACTGGATCAGACACTAACAAAGGATTATCAGAATTTCAATGGCTGAAAGCAAGTATTTTGTTGAGTTCAAAACTAAGCATTATTTATTAGTTACACATCAACTACTAATTTTTACAATCTTTGACTCAAAAATATCTAGAAGTCAAAAAGACGATTATATCTCTATTTTTTACCAATCAACAAATGACAGAGGGCATGAAACTGATGAATTTGCTGAACAGCGGCAGGTAGTACGGTCAAGGCTCTGGCAATTGACATGGCTTCAGTTTCGGGCTCTCCGAGTGGTAGAGTCCTGACAATACTATCTGGTACTATGACAACAGCGTGTAGATCGATCAAACTTGACAAGATAATACCAACCATAAGCTTTCTATAGATCAGACATATAACCAAGGTATTTTAGCCGGTGTTCAAGACTCTGACGCCTTCTTGGCTTAACGTCGAATTGGGTGCCTGACTTTTATGGAGATATGTCTTTCACTATAGTAACTTACTATTAGTATAATCTTGGGACGGTATGACTTTTCTTTGACTGAGGAAAAGGGATCAATAATCTGTTTAACAGATTAACAAGATTTTCTGATGCAGAGGATCCATAATAATATGACAACTGCAGAGCATACTCAACTTGTATCACTGCAAACTTTGAATAGTTTGAAGAGAAGCATGAAGCTAAAAGATTTAACAATGGAAAAAGGAAGATGGAATCACCAAAAGAGAAGAGATGTTTTTAGCCAAACATATTTTATAAAGGAAGGTTTCTTACAAGGGATATTTTGTGATAGGTTATGGATTCTTAGTATGATTACTTCCTAGAGAAGTATCATTCTATTTATACATGGAAAAAGTAAAGGACTAGTAGCCTAATAAGACAAGACTAGGACAAAGCAACTTTACAAGTGGCTTAGGATAAAGCTAAAGGACGGTGAGTCATAACTAAGGTATAATGACTCATTACTATGGTACAAAGGTTTATTATTATGGTATAGTGACTCATCACTTATGGTACGGTGACTCATCACTATGACTCATACTAAAGTACAGTGACTCATTATGACTTGACTAAGACATAAAGTTGATGAAGACTTGATATAAGGTTGTCTTGATGTAAAGGCATTATTATCAACTTTTGTGGAGTCTTCTAGAGAATCACGCATAATTATACAGTATTGGACTGGAACAGGGAATCTTCTGTCTTGTAGCACCATGAGTGTCATAATTCTGAGAAATCTTTTGGGAAATCTTCAAGGTACTGGAGAACGAGACAATCATCTACCCACATGAATAGTTCTTGTTCAAAATCATCAGGATTAGAATCATAACATTGGAATAAGTGATTGTAAACTCTGTGTTCAAATCTTGCTCGAAGTCTGGAGAGATCTTCATCATTCTGCCAATAAAGATTGGTTGAAAGTTCTGCTAATTCTGAAGGACAATGAAGATCAAAATTAATAAGTCATTGTGATAAATCACTCCACCAAGTGTCATAAGGTGGTTCAGGAATCCAATGTGCCAGGTGAATGAGTAATTCTTGGATGTATTCTAGAGGGTACCACCATCATGGTTCTTTCTTGAAAGGAAGAAGTTCTACAGGGATTGGGAGGTTGTTGATTTTGCAGAGTCTTTTTAACAGGAGCTTGTACTCATGAGCATAGAGAAAGATAGATTTGTACAAAGAGTATGGATTACACACATACATGTCTGAATGGGGTTGAAAGAAAGCATAATTTTCAGAAAGGTCACAAGGTCGGTGGAAGAAAAAGATAACATGGTAGTGTGACTCATCATTATGACTCATACTAAAGTACAGTGACTCATTATGACTTGACTAAGACATAAAATTGATGAAGACTTGACATAAGGTTGTCTTGACGTGAAGGCATCATTATCAACTTCTTGGAGTCTTCTGGAGAAAACTGAAATTAGCACACGTAATTATACAATATTGGACTGGAACAGGGAATCTTCTGTCTTGTAGCACAATGAGTGTCATCATTCTGAGAAATCTTTTGGGAAATCTTCAAGGTACTGAAGAACGAGACAATCACATACTACCTATCGCTGTGTATAGAAATGGTATCAGAGCCTGCAGCTTGCCAAGATAGCGAGAAGAAAGTCATGTTTCTAAAGTTTTGATTATTGAAATTGGAAAAGTAAAAGCCAAAAGAGAGTCTTATTATCATGGATCTATCCACTCTTAGCAACTCTAGTTCTCAACCTTCTTCCTTCAAATCTTCTTTTAGTTTATCTTCTCCTCTATCTCTTGTACTTAAAAAGTCTTCCTCATCTAAGCTTAAGTTCTTATATAAAGTAGATTACATTTCAGAAGAAAAGAAAACCCAACAAACAGTTCTACTTTTTGTAAATCCTTATACAGCTTTCTCAAACTCCTCCCCTTCTCTTACTAGATCTTTAAAACTCTTTTAAAACCTAAATATTCAGCTCCAAAAGAGTATGTTCAAGCCACAAACTTTGATCAATGTATTCTTTCAGCAGGACCTCAAGAGCACTTTGTTACTCTTCAGATCCCAGAAGAATTTTCTCACTAGTGGTCAGAACAAGGATACACTCACATTCACTTTGGTGCTATCAGAATCGCTTTAACCTTTCATGGCAGAAATGAAATTCTTGTCTGTACCAGAATGACCTTATTGGACACCAAATTTAAAGATTACAAGCATGCAATCCTTGGAATCGTCGAGACGACACTCAATGCAGAAACTGTCTTCTTCACAGTCTTTTTAAATTATAATATGTCTCTTCATGATTCAACCCTGTTAGATGCTTTAAAAGTTCAAGTCCAGATCGTAGGCACAGAAATGAAAGGCCTCCAGGCAACCCTTCACTACCAGATAGCATATAGAGTTCAAGATCATGCCATTAACTTACCTCTTTCACACTCCAGTGATGTAGTCTTTGTTAAAATGGAAACAGCAGACAGAACTCCTAAACATGTTCATATTCCAAAACAGGTTTCCAATGAAGAACTTGCCACCCTTCTCTCGAAGATGTGGATGACAAGTTATCAAAAGATTTGGAAATAAGATGAACCAATTGAACACTTTGATCCAACCTACAAGACAAATCAGGATGGCACTGTCACAATTGAATTTGATCACAGCAAAAGAAAGGATGTTCCTCTTCCCACAATCTTGCCAACCCAATTTATGATGCAAAGATGTCATGCTGATCTCCTTGATATTTCAGTCACACACTTTCAGTCCGATGGAAATCCCGTGTATGTATATAAATCTCCAGAAGGACATTGCTATTGGGACATAAATTGTCAATGCAAAGAATGCCAGATCGATGTAGATAATAGCTTCCTGGATGATGATAATGATGATATTCCAAAGAAACAAAAGAAGAAAAAGTCTTCCCAGCAAAAGCTCAAAGAAAGATATGAAAATGGAAACTCTGAAGTTGATCTCCTTAGTGAACCCTCAGGAAAGTTTGACTACTATGTCATCTATCCTAAGAAAGACAAACGACCCTCTCAAACCTATTCAACTCAACCTACACAAAAACCAGATTTCACCCAAAATTCCACCCAACCTTTACCACAAATCTTCATTATGCAACCAACTTACCTCAGCTCAAATTTCCCTCCTTTTGAAGAATTTCATAAAGACCAATACAAACACATTCCAAAAATCTCCACTCTCACTGACAGAGATGAATATGGAAACCAAAAAAGTGTTTCTCGTGCTGAAGCAGTTTTAAACTGACAGACTGAAAATTCTTTCCAGCAGAATTCATACCTGCACAGAATCGAACATAAGTTGGACCAAGTCAGTCAACATTTTGATCAGAGCCTTGTCAATCTCCAAAATATTATTTTTAAAATTCAATCAAGGATAATCACATTTGATCAAGAACTCAGATACATGGTTGAAACCAACACTGGATTCACTTATGCTTTCACTGAACGAGAGAAAGAAATGAAGAGCCTAAAGATTCAACTTACAGATCTTCAAAATCAGTTTCATCAGAAACAACAACAACAACAAGTAGCCTCTAGTTACAACATCTTCACATCATATCACACTGGTATGTATGATACTCCTTACCAAGCCTATACTCCTCATCCATTTCAACCATACAATCTTCTAACCTCACCTTCAAAACTTTTTTTCACACCTTTTCAGTACAAACCTCCTCCAACATCTATCCCAACATCCTCACAACCAATATAATACTTCACTCCTATCTCAGACCAACTAGACCAACCCCCTTTTGGTACAACTGAAAAATGGATTCACAGAT